TGGGCTTCCTCATAGCATGGCCGTCTGGCCTCCCCAGAGCAGCATTCAATGAGCAGGAAGTAGAAACTGCCAAGTCTCTTGAGGCCTGGGTATGGAAATCAACACAGCGTCACTTCTGTCGTATTTTACTAGTTAAAGCAGTCACATAACCTACCCAGAATCAAAGGGGGAGGACAGGGACCCCACCTCTTCATGGGAGAACTGTAAAGAATTTGGGGCCATCTTTAATCTACTACAAGTGGCATTCATCTCCAAAGAATTATCACAAGAAACAAATTAGGCAGGGATGTGCGCTTTACACCCAACGGAATGGCTAAAATTTAGAAACCACCAAAATATCAAATGTTGGCAAGGATGTAGAGCAACTGAAACTCTCACACATCGCTGGTAGAAATGTAGAAAGGTACAGCCACTTTGGAGACAGTTTGGCAGTTTCTTATAAAGTTAAACATACTTAACCTACAGCCCAGTAATGCTAATCCTAGGTCATTGCCAAAGAGAAATGAAAACAGGTGTCCACAGAAGGTCTTGTACACAGATGTTCACAGTAGCCTTGTTCATAATACCTTGAAGCGGAAACAAGCCAAATGTCCGTCAACAGTAGAATGGGTAAATAAATCATTGCTTGTTCATGTATTGGAATACTACATAGCAATGAAAAAGAATAGATCAGTATACACAGCTACATAGATGAATCTCACAAACATCATGTTGAGAGAAAAAAGCCAAACATGAGAATACATTCTGTGTGATTTCATTCATCTGAAGTCCAGAAATAGGCTAATAATAACTAATCCATGGTGGTAGAAGTCAGATAGTGGTTAGCTTTGGGAGGGGGCTCATGACTGACAAGAGGCATGAGGGGGCCTTATGGGGTGATGGAATGTTCTATAAGTTGGTCTGGGTGGTGGTTACACAGACATAAACATGTGTACGAATTCATCAAGCTGTCTACTTAAGACCTGGGCGCTTTGTCGTATGTCATTTACACTCAAAAATACTTGCTAAGTGCAGTGCTTGCTATATATTAAATGACCAATAAATGGTAGCTACTAATGTCATCATCTTCATGATCAAAGCACGAGAGGGCTGTGACACTGATGATGTTATCCACAGTAACTGCATTTGGAAGGCCTTCCAGCTCTGGGCCTTGCTCTCTGGGGTTTGGGCAGCTTGTCTGCTCCTTCTGAAACCCCGTGGACACAGCCCACCTTCTGCCAGGGAGCAGACTCTTACTTTGCTCATATAAATGGAGAAAATTTCCTGTTGGCCTTGGCCCAGCAGTTGCATTTGGCATGGGTGTGTGTTCTTGGGTCAAGTGCATTTGGCTCTCCTTCCTGGGGGCCCTGAATCATCCTGGATAGACATCTTTGCTCCATGATGACCTCAGAACCCACCACCCAGACTTCAGGGCTCCAGAGACCAGCTCTGGGGAGGGGAGAGGATAGGTTGAGGAAGGGTCTGCGATAGGCTGAGGAAGGGTCTGCCAGGCCCCCAGGCTAATAAACCAGGTTGGGGATTTGTCCTGGCAGATGCTCAAAGAACATTGATTCTTTGCTGACATCTTTGCTCTTCTCAGAATGTAGCCTGAGGCATGCAAGCTCAGACGCCTGTGATTTGACATTGTCGAGTGAGTTGGGTAGGAGAAAAAAAAGTGTGTCACTTTCCTTTTGACTTCTCTGTAAGAAGAAAAGTTCTGTGGGCAGCCATGGACTCCAGGTTGGGGATACTCTAGGGAGCGGTGGGGACTGTGGTTAACCAGTCACGCTGATTGTTGCCACGTGCAACATGGGCTCAGTGTAGCCAGGTCTTCTGATTTTTCATAAGCCAGAAATCTGGGTTTCTAAGGGAAATATCCTGGATTTAAGATCTTGGCATCTTATTTGCTTGTGCTTTTGTTTTTTGGTTTTTTAGACATGATTAGGCTGACAATGCGTGGGCCTGATAGAACATGTCTGTAGACCTCTGGTGTTACAGACCTTAGACTCTGGTTGGCCTCAGACCAACCTGAACTGAAATCTCCTGTCTCCCACTTTCTGCCTTTGTGACCTTGGGCCAGCTCATTTGGTTTCTCTGAGCCTTGGTTTTATCACCCGGAACAAGGACGAAATAGTTGCTTCCCTGCACGTGGTGAAAGCCCATGGAGTGTGGTCTGTTGGTATCAGGCTCCTCTTGACTGGGCCTACGTTAAACCACCCTGAAGTTTCCTCTTATGCTTCCAAGCCCAGGGGGGACCCAATGGAAAGGTTTTCAGCCCTCCCCCACCCCACTCTAAGTGACTGCAGCCTTCTGGGCAGGTGTAAACAGTTCCGATTGCCTACAGCTCCAGCCAGTGGAGAAGGGACTTCTTGCTGGGCCCGCAGTCCCTCTGTGTTCCTTCAGTTTCTTTGGATTTAGAAGAGGGAGGGGAAGGCTCTTTGAATCTCCTCTCTACCACCTTTCCTTTGCTCCTGTAGGTTGCTAGGAGGTGTGCCCACCTCCACCCCATTTGTTTCTTTAGAAATTAGCAAAAAAAAAAAAGATTTGTGTTTGTTCCACTGTGTTCTGACCTCGCCATGGAGTTACTTATCTGCTCTTTGTTGCGTCATGGTGATCTTCTCCTGAGTTTAGCCTTGTTGAGGGATGGGCTTCTCTCTAGAAATCTGGCTCTGGGGAAGAAAGGGGAATATTGGAGGACTCTTCCCTATCACTGGTAACAAAAGCAGGTGCCTGTGGGAGCCAGGCTGGGTATGGACATGAGCAAAGGGGCAGGGATGAGACACTAGGGAGGGGTGGGGACTATGGAAACTGGAATGCTCAGGCTCATCTGGAGGGACCAGCCCCAGGCTTTGGTGCCTGGGGGCACTCAGGCCCAGTGTTGCCAAATCTGTAAATCCAGACTTAATCCCTTGAGGTTTTTAAAACCATATTTATGTATTTTATTTTGGAATATTATAGATTTACAGAAAAATTGCAAAGATAATTCAGAGAGTTCCCTATGCTCGCATCGTGAACGTCTTACATCATCAAGGCACATTCATCAAAACTAAGAAACCAACATTGCTACAGTGATATTTACTAAACTCCACACTTAATTTTGATTTCACCAATTTCTCATTAATGTCTCTTTTTGTTCCAGGATTCATTCAGCAAGTTGTTGTGTCTCCTTAGTCTCCTCGAGTCTGTGACTTTGACAGCTTGGGGGAGTATTGGTGTTTTAGAGAAGGTCCCTTGGTGTTGATTTGTCTGATGTTTTTCCTGCAGTTAGACTGGGTTATGGGTTTCTAGAAAGACGAGCACACAGCTTGAGGCCTTCTCCTCCCATCCCATCAGGGGTACACGCTACCCACATGGCATCCCTGTTCCTAGGAACCTCGGTCACTTGCTGAATTCAGGTGTCACTTGCCAGATTTCTCCACTGGAATGTACTGTTTTCTCCTTTCCATACTCTGTTCAATCATTTGTGCATATCGGACTCAGGCATATTTATTTTATCCTTTGGATTATAATCTAATTCTGCATTACTCATTATGTTGCTCATATTACTCCAGTTTTGGCCGTTTCCCTCTTTCTGGCTGGCTCCTGTGTCCCTTTGACATGTCCCCTCCTTTAATTTTTCATTGTTTGGGAGGCTGGCTGGTACGGGGATCTGAACCCTTGACCTTGGTGTTATGAGGCTGCGCTCTACCAGTTAGCTCACTTGGTAGAACGTGGTGCTGATAACACCAAGGTCAAGGGTTCAGATCCCTGTACTGGCCAGCTGCCAAAACAAAACAGAACAAAAAAGCGTCTGAGAGTCCACCTGAGAGAGAAGTCGTGGGGTTTGCGGGGAGGGTGGTGGTGAGCCAGCACGAGAGGGTTCACTAGCAGGATACAAGGGAAGCCTTTTATACCCTAGTCTTGGAAGGGCCATCTCATCACTTGGGCTGACTCCTCTTCATTAGAAACATCCAGGGAAGAGGGTCACACAAGGGCATGGCTACGAGGGAGCAGGGAGCATCAGGGACCACATAAGAAGCTAGATGCACACACGGTGCCACACACCTTGTAACACATTATGCCCCCATGCATAATGTTTGCTAAACATTTCATCCTTGCAGCATTCCGAGAAGGACTGTCATAACTGCATCACTGTCCAGCTAAGCAAAAGAAGCCTCAGAGAGGTGCAGTGACTTGCTCAAGGTCACACAGCTTATGGTGGGTAGAGCTAAATTCACACTCCCACCTGAGTCCTGAGTCCTACTCCTGTTGTGCCCACTGGTGTTTCTCTCACTTTGGTCCCTAGACCTCCATTTCAGCATGGTCTTGGAGCCTTGGCTGAAAGTGCAGATTCTCAGACAAACTGGACCAGACAACACCTGGGAATCAGCATTTGACAGGCTTCTCCCCAGGGATTCAGATGCCTCCCAGAATTTGAGAGCAGTGTATATACTGCCTCTTTGCATAGCAAGGATGTGGTAACCTGAAAATGGCATGTCTCCCTCTCTCTCTTACACAGACACAGTCACATGCATACATACACTCACATAGAAAGAAGAGGTAGGCTTGGTGCTTAGGTTCTGAGAGAAAGTGGAGGCTTCAGTGTCTGATTTCAGTGATCAGGGAAAGGATGGGGCTTCATAAAGTTCACAGTCACTTTGGGGTCCTTGCAGGCAGAAGAAATTGAAAATTAAATGAGAGGTACAAGGAAGTTCTTAGCACAGTGCCTGGGTGTAGGAAGCATCTTGGTACATGAGAGTTGTGGTTTCCGTTAACATTATTAATGATAATTATCAACTCATTAATACTAATTCTAGTGCAACAAAAACTGGACTTTCCTTGATGTTGGTTTAGAGAAGAGATTTTGATTTGTTCCATTTGCTCCAGTTCACTGATTTAGAAAAGGAAGATATTTAGTCTGGGGGAAAACAATTAATTTGCAGTTCAGTAAATAATACCTGAGTAGGTCTGGGGTCCTGAGAGGTGATGAGGTTGGTCCCTACGTGGGGCTCTAGGTCAATCGTGGGCCTGTCCTTGGTAGGATGCCACCTGGCATCTTGGCCATCAACAGGGTCTGCGCAGACCCCAGCCCACCCCAGAGGCAGGTGGGAGGAGGCAGTGGTGGGGCAGAGGGCCTGATAAGCTGCTTTGTTCCTTGCAGATCAGGAGTGACACTTCGCAGATCTTGGAAGAAAACATCCCGCTCCTTAAAGCCAAAGTGATGGAAATGCGTGGCATCTACACCAAAGTGGACCAGCTAGAGGTGTGTCCAGGATAATGAAGGTTCTTTGTGAGACCCGTGGATTGATCTGGCTTTTGCTGTCTCTTCCAAGATGCTGATTTGGCCTTGAGAGAATCAGGTGTTAGGCCCAATGGGGGCGGTTGGTGGTGAAAGGGGTTCTGCATTCACATGGGATTTTTTAAAAAATGGCAAGTAAGAATTTGTTCCCAACATTTAAAAACTGGGGTACTTTATATAAAAGTCTGAATCTTAAGCTTCTTCTGGAAATTCAGAAGCGTTGACTACCCTGGGCCCACGTTTCCTTAAATACTTATATTAATGCATTTCTGTTGCTTATAGTAAAATATTTGGAACTGGGTATTTTCAAAGAAACAAAATGTATTGCTTACAGTTTCAGAGGCTGGGAAGTCCAAAGTCCAAGGAACACATCTGGTGAGGGAGCCTTGTTCTTGGTGGTAACTCTACAGTGACGTAGGGTTTCACATGGCGAATGTGGCAGGAGCAGAGAGAGAGATTCCTCACGTGCTCTCTCCTTTTAAAGCCCTCAGAATCACACCCATGATGACTATTTTTAATTCATTTACTTGGGCATGGTCCTCACAATCTAATCACCTCTTTAAGGCCCCACCTTTCAATTACCATAATAAGATTTCCCACCCTCAGCAGTTACAGTGGGGATTGTTCACATGGGATTTTTAAAAAAATGACAAGTAAGAATTTGTTCCCAACATTTAAAAACTGGGGTACTTTATATAAAAGTCTGAATCTTAAGCTTCTTCTGGAAATTCAGAAGCGTTGACTACCCTGGGCCCACGTTTCCTTAAATACTTATATTAATGCATTTCTGTTGCTTATAGTAAAATATTTGGAACTGGGTATTTTCAAAGAAACAAAATGTATTGCTTACAGTTTCAGAGGCTGGGAAGTCCAAAGTCCAAGGAACACATCTGGTGAGGGAGCCTTGTTCTTGGTGGTAACTCTACAGTGACGTAGGGTTTCACATGGCGAATGTGGCAGGAGCAGAGAGAGAGATTCCTCACGTGCTCTCTCCTTTTAAAGCCCTCAGAATCACACCCATGATGACTATTTTTAATTCATTTACTTGGGCATGGTCCTCACAATCTAATCACCTCTTCAAGGCCCCACCTTTCAATTACCATAATAAGATTTCCCACCCTCAGCAGTTACAGTGGGGATTAAGCTTCAATATGTGGACTTTGGGGGACACAGTTCAATCCATGGTAATACTTTAATTTTTTTTTCTATTTTTCAAGGTATAAATACATAAAGTGCACATATTTTAAGTGTACAGTTCAGTAAATTTTTGTATATATCAGCACCCACGTGAAGATGACCCAAAATGAGAAATGGAATATTTCTAGCCCCTCAGCCTCATTCTTGCAAGAATGGATAGAGACTGTGGCAGCTGTCCCAGGAAAAGCACAGGTTCTTTAGTTCTCCACAACCCCCACCATCCCCTGTTGCCTCACCCCTGACTTATCTTACCCATCTTTTACTCTCTGGGCGCTGGGCGAGGATGCACAGTATCTCACTTCTTCCTTGCTGCACTGCAGAGTTGGTCCCCTCACTGTCCCTGTCTCCCAGAGCAGGTAACCCACCAGCCCAGGCTCACACTGCTAGTTATGGACTCCATCTTGCATCCTGGAGCGCAGGCTGTTCATTGACCTGGGTCGCTCTGCTTGGTTTCCTGGATCCTTGCCCAGAGAAGCCCTGGAGGCTGGGAGGTGCTTGTGGTTGTACAAGGGTACTTCAAAAAGTTCATGGAAAGATTCGTATTATCTTTTAATTCTATTTTTTCCATGAACTTTTTTGAAGTGCCCTTGTATAGCGGTCACCTGGCCAGCGGGCATGTGCGCCCCTCCAAGCTGCAGAGGGAGGGGACCGAGCATGGCAGTCAGCACCAAGTTAGCAGAGAATTAACATTCTTGTCAGCAGAGAATGAAGCAGGAATATAATTAAAACTTTGCCCTTGGAATAGCTGATTCATTTGGATTTCATACCACACGTTTGAGAGAGGAAATAAAATGTGAAGATTTGCAGCCTTGGTTCTTGCCTTGCCTGGGTGGGCCCAGCTGTCAAGCCTGATGCTTTTCTTAGCATTCGGTCCGCTAGCATTTATTGAGGGCCTACTGGGTGCCACGACAGGGATTTCACGGTAAGACACGTTCCATGTTCCTGCCAGGAGAGATGCTCTGAGCAAAGCACGACCATGTTAGTTTCCTATGGCCACTCTAACAAATTACCACAAACTTAGTGGCTTAAAACAACATCCAGTTATTATCTTACAGCCCTGGAAGCCAGAAGCCCCAAATGTGCCATGGGTCTAAGATCACCATGTTGGCAGATTGGCTCCTTCTGGAGGCTCTAGGGGAGAATCCATTTCCCTGCCTTGTTTGGCTTCTAAAGGCGGCCCACATTTCTCAGCTCATGGCCCCTTCTTTCATCTTCAAAGTCCTGCTGTGACCCTCCTGCCTCTCTCTTACAAGGACTCTTGTGATTATTTTGGAGACACCTGGATAATCCAGGTTACTCTCCCAAGATGCTTAACACATCTGCAAAGTCCATTAAGCTTCAATATGTGGACTTTGGGGGACACAGTTCAATCCATGGTAATACTTTAATTTTTTTTTCTATTTTTCAAGGTATAAATACATAAAGTGCACATATTTTAAGTGTACAGTTCAGTAAATTTTTGTATATATCAGCACCCACGTGAAGATGACCCAAAATGAGAAATGGAATATTTCTAGCCCCTCAGCCTCATTCTTGCAAGAATGGATAGAGACTGTGGCAGCTGTCCCAGGAAAAGCACAGGTTCTTTAGTTCTCCACAACCCCCACCATCCCCTGTTGCCTCACCCCTGACTTATCTTACCCATCTTTTACTCTCTGGGCGCTGGGCGAGGATGCACAGTATCTCACTTCTTCCTTGCTGCACTGCAGAGTTGGTCCCCTCACTGTCCCTGTCTCCCAGAGCAGGTAACCCACCAGCCCAGGCTCACACTGCTAGTTATGGACTCCACCTTGCATCCTGGAGCGCAGGCTGTTCATTGACCTGGGTCGCTCTGCTTGGTTTCCTGGATCCTTGCCCAGAGAAGCCCTGGAGGCTGGGAGGTGCTTGTGGTTGTACAAGGGTACTTCAAAAAGTTCATGGAAAGATTCGTATTATCTTTTAATTCTATTTTTTCCATGAACTTTTTTGAAGTGCCCTTGTATAGCGGTCACCTGGCCAGCGGGCATGTGCGCCCCTCCAAGCTGCAGAGGGAGGGGACCGAGCATGGCAGTCAGCACCAAGTTAGCAGAGAATTAACATTCTTGTCAGCAGAGAATGAAGCAGGAATATAATTAAAACTTTGCCCTTGGAATAGCTGATTCATTTGGATTTCATACCACACGTTTGAGAGAGGAAATAAAATGTGAAGATTTGCAGCCTTGGTTCTTGCCTTGCCTGGGTGGGCCCAGCTGTCAAGCCTGATGCTTTTCTTAGCATTCGGTCCGCTAGCATTTATTGAGGGCCTACTGGGTGCCACGACAGGGATTTCACGGTAAGACACGTTNCTCTAACAAATTACCACAAACTTAGTGGCTTAAAACAACATCCAGTTATTATCTTACAGCCCTGGAAGCCAGAAGCCCCAAATGTGCCATGGGTCTAAGATCACCATGTTGGCAGATTGGCTCCTTCTGGAGGCTCTAGGGGAGAATCCATTTCCCTGCCTTGTTTGGCTTCTAAAGGCGGCCCACATTTCTCAGCTCATGGCCCCTTCTTTCATCTTCAAAGTCCTGCTGTGACCCTCCTGCCTCTCTCTTACAAGGACTCTTGTGATTATTTTGGAGACACCTGGATAATCCAGGTTACTCTCCCAAGATGCTTAACACATCTGCAAAGTCCATTTTGCCATGTAAAGTGACATACTCACATCTTCTGGGGACAAAGACATGAGCATTCTTGGGAGGCCCTATTCTGGTGACCACAATGCCGAGGTTGATTTGGTCAGCCGACTGCTGTGAGAAGTAGCAACGAAGAAGTGGAATCTACAGGCCCCTGGAGGGAGCTATGCTGGGCGGGAAGGGTGGGATGGGGAATGGGCACAGCTCAGGCAGGGGCTCCGGTGCAGGAAGGAGACGGAAGAATCCTGGGATGGCCAGATTACCAACGCAAAGAGAGACATGACCCAAGTGAGGCTGGAGAAACTGGCAGCAGGACTGGGTTGTCGGGGCCAAGGTCAGGATTTGGGCCTTTATCATGAGAAGAAGGAAGCCACTGAAGAGGCAGTAGAGCCTAGTGGTTAGGAGTGCAAGCTACAGAGCAGGGCTTCTCAGCCTCAGTGTCATTGACACTTTGTGCCAGAAAATTCTCTGTTGTGTGGCTGTCCTGTGCATCAGAAGATACTCAGCAGCACCCTTGACCTCTACCCATGAGGTACCACTAGTTCCCCTCCTTCCTATCTCCCCAGCTGTGACAACTGACTGGTCTCCAGATGTTGTCCAGTGTCCCTTAGGGGCACAGTCACTCCTGGTGGGAAGCACTGCTCTAGAGTCACATAGCCAGGGTTCAGGTCCTGGTGCTGCCTCTCCACTTCTCTACAGGACGGGAGTTACAGTAGTGAGGTTTTTGAACCCAAATCCTTACCATATTCAGCAAACACCTGCTGAGCTATGGGGCTACCCTAAGGCGGGGGCCGGGACGCAATTGAGGCCAGACTGCTGGTGCCCTGCCGGTGACCTGTGAGGAGCAGGTTGGGTGACACAGGTTGACTGTGTGGGCACACACAGGTGATCGGAGCTAGAACAGAGAGGGCTTCCTGGATGTGGCCTTTATGCTAAGGCTTGAGACATGGATTAGTAAACCTGGGAAGAGAACAGTTTGTGCAAAGGCCCAGAGGCCTCCAGGCACTTGTGCGTGGGTGTGGAGCCCCAGGCAGGGATGAGACTGCGGCAATGAAAAGGGGCTCAGAGTGGGGCCAAGTGTGGATTTGGAGCCTGTTCCCAGAATGACAG